CACTCATTGGTATAATGGTAATAATTTCAGGAGGGTTAACATTATCATGGTCAAATAACATGGCCATAAAATACAGTGATACAGTCATAAGTAGGCAAGGAGACAAACAGTGTATTAGAAGGGAAAAGAGATGGGTAATCTTTTTTTTTTGGCAAATGTCATTTGAAAAATTGTCAGTGAGAGATATAGCCTAAGAGATACATTTCTTTAATAAGTCCTTAAATTAAAAAAATAAATATAACCCAACTTGGATTATATTTGTCTTTGTAACAACACAGTTGTAAAAATAAATTTTATTTTAATGGAAGAAGGAGCCCATCAAGGCCAAAATCCTTAGGGTGCAGGAACAGTCCTAATGCAGACCTGAGTCCTGGGGGCCTAGGGGTGGGGCTGGGGCTACTGAGGTGACAGGGTTCTGGGAGATTCAAGCAAGAGCAAATTTCCAATCAACACAGAAATATCAATATTTTAATAATGCTATATCCATGCCAGTGCATAGAGCCCCAGTGGTAGGACAGCCAATCCTGCCATTGGTGGAAATAATGTTAAACAGATGCAGCTTCTTTTCTTACCTACTCTGCAACATGGCTGGACCCCTCATAATCAACTTGGAATACATTACAACTTTAAAACATAATTCTGTTAAAACTTCCTCAGCTTTCTATCCCTGTGTGCACTAGAATATGCAACACTTTTTGGGTTAAAGCTGTTCACATGCCTGGAAAGACAATTCAGTAGGCAACTCTATTTAGGAAAACAAAGATACTTCACACTTTATAATGACCGACCAGATACACGCAAATGGTGGCTTCAAGGCTGGGAGGAGCCGTTAACCTCCCTCAAGGACTTGGTCATTTGATTGTCTTTGACCTCACCCTTCTTTCCTGCTGTGTTGTAGACTGATTTGTAACACACATATTTAGAGTCTGTCCACGGTAAACCCTCCAGCTTATCATTTTTTCACCTTCTCAAGTCAATAGTTTGATTTCATTATAGAAACTCATTCCCATGGCCACATCTTAGGCTCAGTCATTCCCCAGAATTGTTCTACATCTGCAAATCCAATAAATTCCCATGTATCCCCTTCATTCATTTACCTTCAATTGTTCTACCTCTCCCATGTCTTCAGTACTGCCATACTTGTTCTTTTTTCTCAACATTTTCATTCTCTTAGCATCCCACATTTGCTACTCCCACCTGACCTAATTCTTTTCCTTACTCATCCTGAGTGTGTTCAGTCAACTCTCTACCCTCATCCTCTACTCATTAGTTGCCTGTCCTAAAGGCTCATGCACATAACAAACAACTGACATAGGACCAACCCTCTAATGTACCTTTTCTTCATCATCTTCTCTATTTTGGCTCTTTGGCAGAAGGATGGGGAAGCTTTTAAGAGAAGATATCTTTCATTGAAATTGGGGTGAGCCATAATAAATACCCATCTTAAGAGGTAGAATTCTGAAGAGGCAGCTTGAAATTCTCTTCTATTTCTCTCCTTGGAAATTTTATAGCTTCATAATATTCTGTATTTACTTACTTATATTTAGAGCTACGGGCTGATAACTTGCATTCCCTTTAGAATTCCTATAATTCTGTCCCACTTCATGCAAGCATTAATTATGCAAATGTAAGAGACCATAATATAAAAATTAATAAAGGCTCAGTTATGAACAAAATTTGAAACAATATGAATCCAAATATTTTAAGATTTCTTCAGGAATTGCACAACTCCAAAGGTATGCTGTGTTCATGCTAAGGCCACATGGTAGTTTCTAGCATGTGAAAAATATTCTCCTTTTGTCAGTATTTTGTGAATCATACTTGTTTATGTGCATGCTAACTTCTATGTTGGAGTTCAGTGACTATTATGCTGTTATTTAACCACCCACTGTCATTATAATTTAAAATATTTTTTGTATCCTATAACAGTGTAATGCAATCATTCATTAAATGGGGGTGCCATTGAAGCAGTGCTAAAAACATGCCTGCAAATCAATTACTTTGGCATGGAATTTAGAAATAAATGAACAAAACTCTAAATAAAGCCCAACAACTGCCATGGCATGCTGGGCTATTAATGTGGAAACAAGCAACATGAGAAATATTAGAAATAATGCTAGAAAATCTAAAAACATGAACTTAAAACACAATGGCTAAAGATTTATGCACCCTGAGAATACATCCCACATTCTTTATGCCTATGGGGAAATTAGTTCTCTGATTTTCATTTTTAATTATGTATCTTGCAGCTTTCTTTTGTTTAGAGATGGAGCCAAATCCCATGTATACAGGGAAATGGGGCCAAGTTGAAATTTTAAATAATATATTTTCCTCCTTGTGGTTTTTCTAATTAGAAACCATGTTGCACTGGAAAATTCTAGCATTTTTACATTTTCTTCAGTTTTCTTCTCCATACTTTTACATAGTTTAGATAAAATATACATGCAGTTTTGCATCTTAATGTTTTTCTGAACCTAAAATGAAGATTCATCAAGACATTAAGAACTATCTGTGGACATTAAGGCTATAAAATATCTCATCATACAATTATGACATATTTAATTAGTACTACTCTTAATACTAAAATATTAGGTACTCTCCAAGATTTGCCATTATAAATAATTCGATGATGAGTAGGATATAAATTTCATCTATAGTTCGAATTATTTTTCTTCAGGGAAATTTCTTAGGAGAATTATTAGATCAAATAGTATCTTGATACATATTGCCAAATTGCTTTCCAGAAAGACTAAAGCAATTTACAGTATTCCTAGCAACAGATAAAAGTATCCATCTCATCCTATCTCCACCTTGTTGAGTATTATTGCTTTAAAAAATATTGCCAATTTTATTAGCAAAAAAATCTTGTTTTAATTCACATCTTTTATTATTTGTAAATTGGGATTTTCTCCATCTATTAGCTAGCCCATTATATTTCCTACTTTGTAAATTGTCTGTATATGTCCTTTGTTCATTTCCCTAGGGTCTTAACATTTTTCCTGCCAATATGTGTAAGTTCTTTATGTATTAGGCATATTAACCCATAAGCTATCATATTTGGTTATTTTATGACTTGAATGCTAATTATTTTATGAGAAAAAATATGTATGAATCACACATGAATGTAGTATCAAAAAACTTGATTAATCTCATCTGTTTATTCTTTCAAATAATTGTTAGAACCTCAGAGTTCAGATAGAAAACAAAATCCATTGGGATTTTAATTATAATTATATTAAATTGATAAATGTAATTTATAATTAATTTAGTTTACCAGTCCCCTAAAATGGTAGTTATTTCTTTGTATTCAAGATTTCTGTCTCTGTTATCTTTGGGTATGTTTCTAAGAATAAACTTAATGGCTTCAAACAACATTTATTATTATTTCTTGGAATCTCTCATGGGTTGCAGTCAGATGGTAATTGGAGCTGTAGTCCAAGCACAGCTAGGCTGCTTGCCCAAGATGGCTTTTTCACTCATAAATCAAGTGCATTAATGTTCCCCCTTATGGCCTTTCCTTAGCAGAGTAGCCTAGATTTCTTACATGGTGTCTCAATGCTGCAAGAGTTGGAAGCAGTCTTCTTAAAATTAGTCTTAGATCTGACACAGGGTCATTTTTGCCATGTTCTATTGATCAGATCAGTTACTTGACAGCCCGAATTCAAAAGGCAGAGGAACATTTACCTCTTACTGGGAGAGTGGCCTGTGCAAACAGAAAGCCCACCATCTTTGAAGACAAACTACCACATCTTCTTTATATATATATTGATCTTTATTTGTGTAAGATAAACTTTAGCTGAAATAATCAGGCGAAGAGAGGCAACAAAGGACCAGGTAATTTATTTGAGTGCAACTCCCAGGTGATGTTCCGCGGTATGGGTATTACAGGCTGGGGAAGTCACACCCGGTCAGGGAGGTGGGGGCTTATAAGGGGTTAGGAGGGGGAGGAGTGGGCAAGCTATCCTAGGGGGCATGGAGAGGTATGATTGGCTAAAGGTGACATAATAGACAACTAGAAACTTTTTTTCCTTCCAAGAGGGAGAAGGCTGACATCTGGGTCTTAGTTGGCACATCAGAAAGATGGAATTCAGTAAGAGCTGTCTCCTTTCCATATAAGGCACGGACCTTGGGGTCTGGTCTGTTCTCCCCCTATGGCATCTCTCTGTTCTGTTTGCATGTCCTTGTTTTTCCTTCCTCCAGCCTAACAATTTGATATAGAATTTGTCTCATGAAAGTATTTGAAATTTGTGTTGTTAGAGTAATTTGTTTTCTCTTTTACAGTTAACTAAGTAGTGCTACTATGAATGGAAAATATTGTTTTTGATACATTTATTTTGCATTTAGTCACCTTACTGATGATCTTACTCATTCTAATTACTTCTCAGTTCAGTACCTTGGTTCTCCTAAGAAGATAATCATGAAGATAAGATAATTTTTTTTTATCCTCTCTTTCAATAGTTACATCTCTTATCTATTGCTCTGGTTAAGAGCAAATTGCTCTGGTTAAGACTTCCAGAACAAAGGCTAAGAGGAAGCAGGCTTGTTTTCTTTCTGTTGTATAATTTTTTAAATACAAGTATATTGAAGTTATAAACTGGGCATATTTTATCAACATACACAGTTCCCAGAGTTAAATTAAACCACTTACTTTTATGTGTTGATGCAATATAAATAAATAGAAAGGTAGGTTTTTATTCCAGATAAATTGAATTCAGGGACAGAGACAATAAAAGAAGATGAAGAAGAAAGTAACTAATATAACTTGGATACTGCAATATTTTCTCCCTGAAATCCATAAACTTCCAAAAATAAATCATCACCATAAAACATTCCATTTGACTCCCACAAATAGCTAATATCTCTAAACAAATATAAAACATCATAAATTTAAGCTATTTGTTCTTTCTTCCCAAGGTTGACTATTTACACTAGATGTAAAGAATCATTTAAAGTACATAAATTAGTATTTAGGATAGGCTTTTCAGTCCTCTTATACTCACAAGTGGCTGATAATCATGTGGTGGAACATATTCTTCACCATAGGTTGTCAATGAACACCTAAGAGAAATAAGTCAGTATTTGAGAAAAGAATGACTCCAAAGAGAAAGATATTTAAAATTTTTAGTGTTATATACTTCACATGAAATAAAAAGATTCCAAGAAGCATTGACCTTAATAAAAATTTTTAAAATCACAACTGTCTGGAGCCTTGTTTATAGAGTCCCCTCCCAACCAGCAGGATGCCCTTCCCTCAGTCACTTCTAATTCAGCACCACCTACTACTCTTCTGTACTAATGATATGATATCAATCCCAAGTCCCTGAGTTCAGGCACATTCCAGATTTGGAGAATTCTCTTCACTACTCATTTTTGGCTTCTCAAACCATTTTGACACTGACCATGTTCTCTGCTGACAACTGAAGAGATAATAGAAGACAATCAGGTGGACTGAGATTACATAGCTTCTCCAACCTCCACCCCATTAAATACACAGAAATACTGAATGAAATATATCCTTCCTCCCCAAGTCTATAAGCACAGCCAAGCTCAAAAGGGAAACTGATGTGCTAGAAATGAAAAAGATACTCATTAGACTGGGAAGCCATAAGCTGATGCCCCAAGACTATGGGCTGGAGTTTGAACTGCACATCAAGGGTAGGAGACATGGTCGTGGGTTCACAAAAGGCAGAGCTAAACTACTTACAGTCAGGAATCTACAAAGACTGTACCTCCATATAAAGGAGAACAAATAAACTCCAGCCACCAGTCCAGGAAAACTTGCAAGAAATTATCTCTCTATATGGAACTCAAGGTGGAGAAAAAAATTGTTCTATGAGAAATCAAAGCCTTGTTTCTGTTCTGGCAATACTGTGGGACTAGATGGTCAAAGAACTCCTCTGAGAATTGCCCACCTAAAAAATATTGAGTACAAGGAAATTTAAGCATTTTAATGCATGGCTGAATTGGTGGAAAGGTAAGAAAATTCAACAAGTGAAAGAATTCCAAAACAACAAGGAAGTCCAACTCAGAATAATTATTCAGTGCAGGTGCTAGTATTTGCCTGGTAGTAACTAATTCCTGATGTATCTCAAGGTGTGGTTTCCTGAGTAGCAGTATTAGCATTATCTGGGAACTTGTTAGACATGCAAATACTTGGGTCTCATCCCAGATCTACTAAACTAGAAACTCTGCGGGGGCCCAGCAATCTATGTTTTAACAAGCCCTCTAGGTGATTCGGATGTACACTGAAATGTGAGTAGTGGCAATTAAAAGAACAAAAACAAGAAGTGTAACTTTCAAAGCAGCAAATAGGATATTTTTTAAAGACTAATGTAATAGAAAGGAGGAAAGGAGAATAAAGGAAGAAAAGAAAATAATTTCTGCTCCTAAGACAAAAATAAATATCTTTGCAATCGCAATGAAAGTGAAGGTGTTAAACCCATAATCCAAAGTATTTTCTCAAACTTAAATTGAACATCAGATTGTATTACATAGTTCAGTTCTATGCTTTTATACCTCACGTAAAATTGTTTTCAAAAGATATAAATTAAAAGGATATAAAAAGATATATCAAGCAAATATTACCCAAAAGCAAGTTAATATTTTTATATTAATATCATATGTAACTGACTTTGAGTCAAAAATTATTTGTTATAAAAATCATGACCTACTCATTAAAGGAACAAGTCATATTCAAGAAGACAATCCTAAGTCAATAAAACTAATTTATTTCAAAAAATTTATTTTTTGAAAATAAATTCAGGCTTAAAATTCAGTTTTAAATTCAGTAGTTAGCAAAATAGTATACATAAGGCAAAAAATGACAAAATTATAAAGATAAAATGGACAAATCCACAGTCATAGGGGAAGACTATAATACTCTTGCAGATTCTTCAGTTCCTTAAATCCAAACCTTCACACGCATCCTCCAAAACCATACAGATCAACAATAAAGTAAATAAAATCACGCACAATCATCCCTGTGAAGAGCATAATAGAAGTGAGAGGAGACAACAATCTAGAATCAGCAGAGCCAGATCTGAAGCCCACGCTGGAGCAAAATCAGGCAGGGATTACATGGTTGAGAGGAGAGGGTGGCAAGTCCCTAGTGAGGATGGGACACAGAGCACACTGCCCTCAGAAAAGAGGACACCCTTTCCTGATATGGAAATACTGAGAACAAGTCTGAGAATTTAAACATGGGTCTTCCAACAAAGGGGCTTAGAAAGTAAACACCATCACAACTGTCTAAGGAAGGTGCTGCCTCTGGGGAGTTGGGGGCAACTAGCAAGTTAAAGAAGATTAAAATATCAAGCCCAGAAGAGTCCTAAAACCACCACTCCTTCAAAAAAGATGTCATTAATGAAATAAAGTTATCTTCACTCTTTCAACAGAAGAGGGCACTCTTGAACTAAGATACTAAGGAAACTGCTTAAATTTCTCATTTCCCATCCACAGAATACCTGATTGCTGCTAGTACAGGAAACTTCAACATCTTTAAATTAATAGAAAAGGGCAACATTACTATGAGAAGAAAACAGTAAATGCTAATCAAAACTGAACTGATGAAAATCCTCCCCAGAAACATTCCCAAACAGGAAAAGTCCTCCATGAATATTTCTATTCAATATACTGGAGATTCTATCAAATGCAGTAAAACAAGAAAAAGAAGCATAAGTGTAATAACTGGAATGGAAGAAAAAAATTTTCATCTTCCACATATGATAAGACTATCCACATTTAAAAAAATCAAAGAGAATCTACAAATATTCAATAGGCAAGTTCCAGGAAGGTTATTGGATACAAGATCAATACACAAAAATAGCATACCCACATATGAAAAATAGGAATTAGCATAATTAAAGTGGAAACCCATTTATAATGGCAATAAAATCTCTAAGGTTCCCATAAGAATACATGTAATAATATTTACAAGAAATTTATGGAATGATAAAATTTATTGAAAATTATAAAATATTTCCTTTATTATAGATGATGGTGCATTACATGTTTCATATACATGTGTGTGAGTAATTTCTGAAAGTTTACAGTGTGAAATTGTATATATAGGTTTTGACTGAATTATAATTTTAAAATTTTTATCAAAAGATACCACAGAATTGTGAGAAACCATAGACTAGAAGATATTTATTGTAAAATAGACCAAAATGAAATTAGTACCCAGAATAAATAAAAGAGTATTACAAATCAGTAAAAGATAAAATGCCATAGAAAAAGGGACAAAGACTATACATAGTCAAGTCACAGTAGAATAAACTAGAATGGCTAAAAAAATTTTTGAAAATAAATTCAGGCTTAAAATTCAGTCTTAAATTCAGTAATTAGCAAAATGTGAAGCAAAACAATAACAAGTACATTTTATATCTATTAGACTGGTAAAAATTAAACATCTCTATAGTGTGTATAAGGACATGAAGGAATGAGTGAATTCATACACTGTTGGTGGCAATATCTTGCGAAATTGAAGGTGCATGTATATCTTAATACCCAGCAATTCCATTTGAGTATAAAGAAACCCTTGCATATATACTCAAGGAGACAGCTATAAGGGTATTCAATGCAGCCTCATTTGTAATAGTGAAAATTTGGAATCTAATGTCCATCAGTAGGTAAATATGTTGGATGACCTTAGAAGTCATGATAAATTGTTTCTGTAAAAAAATGAAGCAAATATAGTAAAAATATTGATTTTATTAAAACTGGGTAATTAGTAGATGGGTGTTTAAAGAGTAGTATTTTACAGGGAAATACTCCATAATCTTAAAATGTGTATTAATAGATGACAATAAACTTGTTTCCCTACCTATTCTCATCCAAAGTTATGACTTAAATGGTATGATTATCAGTGAAATATCAGAGTGTTGCTTTGGGCAAGTCTATTTAGCAGTGCAGCATTGGGCATCTCTCAACTCACTTAAAGCAGGCAAAAACTCACTCCACCCATGTTCAGGTCCTTCTCCCTCTCTTTATTATCACCTCCCAGCACAGAGTCTGATACAAGGTGGGCACTGAAAAAATGTTTATTGGATGAATAAAGCAATAAAAATAAAATCAGAATATATTGAGATATAAATTTCCTATAATGAGAATTCATATAGAAGTGGAGGATTAAAATATTCAGTTATCTTTTTGAAAAGGCAATGGCTCAACAAGATGGAAACTTTTATAATAATGAATGATGACTTTCAGTCAGTTACTTATAAACGTTTTGTGATCTCTTTTTTTTAATCTGAAGAACAGAGCAACAATCTCTAAGTGATACATTTCATCACATTCAAAAAAACATGATCTTTTGAAAATAAAAATATGGAAAATCAACACTGAGCTTCCTCTTAGATATCAGCTTAAGACTGTAGCTGAGTAAAGAATATAAAGAAAGAAGACCGTTCCCCTTACAATAGGAATGGCCTTCAGGAAAACTCTGGAAAGTAAGAGATTAGAAAGGTAAGGGAGGCATGGGGAAGAGGTGTCCTGGCTCAAAAACAGACCTCTCTGGTTATGGGACCGGAGCTGGAGCACGTCGGTGTCAGTGCTCCAGTTTGACTGATGACAGCCGACAACAACTCTAAGGCACTGAGTCTAGAACCACTAGCACCAAGCCCATGTCACACGGCCTGCCCTACCATTCTGTCACTACCCTCAGTATTGTCCTCCAGTTCATGTCACATCAGGGCTCTCTGGGGGGATTTCTTAACAGAGACCAATGCGAAGGGCCAGTCACTCTGCATGGAACCATGGCATGTAACGCCCTTACCCTGCGAGGGAGCAAACAAGGCCAAGAGGAGGGAATCCTGGTCCCAGTCCCAGCAGTCTCTTGAGCCCAGCTCCTCCATGGACTTTCCCAGAGTTCCATGAGGTACTCCAGTCCTCCTTTAATAAATTCCTTTTTTGGTCCATAATAATTTTAATTGTATGTCTGTCACTTACATCCAAAAGAGTTCTGACTATTACAATCAGGCACTCAGTCTGAAGCCACTGATCATTGTAATCATATAACTAACTCCCCTCACTCTGTTTCCAAACACACTGAACAACATTCTGATTATAGTTTGGCTTCCTATATGGTTTTTTACTAAGAGAGAAAATTATTTTATTAGTGCTTGAATATTTTATGTCTCGTTAAAAATTAACTAATTAGAATTCTGGCTTTTCTTGTGAGTATAATGAGCACAAGCCAATCTCCATGAGTCAGATAAATTCTGAAGCACAGATAAAATGGTCTTTTGAAAATGTAAAACTGAAGGCCAGATGCTGGTAAATTCACCATGATAATGCCACATTTTAAGGATGCTTGGAAGTTGGACAGCTGGCTTTCACACAGCACCACCCACAATTTGCCACCCACACCCTCTTCCACCTTTAGCAGTAAGGTAAAGAACGAAAGGTGTTTCATAAGATGAGAAAGAAAAAGAAGTCTGATGTTGAAATGATTATTAAAACTAGGGAATTAGTTAAAATACCTACACCTGTACTAACACCAGTGATAACGTGTGACACTTCATGTGTTGACAAGATGATATATCAAAACCCACAGAGTCACAGCTTCTTAAACCAGGAAAGGCTTTAAAGGTCCACTGCTTCTTCTCTGTTTTGTCAGTAAGAGGAATGTTTTATCACTCAGCTTCCTGGTAGCCAGAAAAACGGCAGATGACATCCACTCAGCAAATCGGATGGCCCCACCTAAAGTCTGAATCTGAGTAAGTGACTCAAAGAAGCAGAGAATTAATTTGGAATGATACCACCAGTGGCAGCCGTAGCTATAAGCAGTATCCATTATTTAGGACGAGTATAGCCACAGAGGGCCATGGATTCTACTTGACTCCGTGTGGCAGAACGGAAGGGGGAGCTAGCAATCACTCTGGAAAATAACGTCTCATTCTTAACAGCAACCAATGGAGTTTTTTTTTTTAATCTCATATTGTGCTGAAATGGATATCCCTGTTATTTCCTCATCTTCTACCTACTGAATAAAGCTACACAGACCAAATTTGATCATTCTTCCACAACTGCTCAACGCCAGGCCTATTTTTTAGAAATCAATCTCCAAGAATTTAGCGGGCAAGAGATAGAGAGGAATGATTGAAATTGCTTATATTCATGATTCAAGCCAAGCCCATGCTAAGTTCTCTAGCAGTCTGGAAGCAGTTCTCCCCTTCCATCACTACTAAGTGGTCATGGAGTCTTGAGCAGCCCACTTAAACCCTCTGCATCTTAATTCTCCCTATTTGTATCTGTTCCATAAATATTTATGTAATAGATGGATGGTTTAAGTAATGAAGAATTAGATTCCTTGATTATCTCTGATCTTATTTCCTCATCTATACAATTAAGAAAATATCTACCCAAAGGCCCTTGTATGAATATTAGGAGGAAAGAGATCGTGGATAATGCATGTGAAAGTACTTTGAAGGATATGGGGCACTTTGTATATTTAACCGTGAAAAACAATATACTATTGTGGTTAAGCACACAGTCTCTGCAGTCAGATCAGACATTAATTTAAAAGCCAGCTCTGGCACTTACTAGGTAAGAAAATTTTGGAAACTTACTTTACCTCTTTAAGCCCCTTTTTTAATGGGGATACTTGTAGCATTTACCTCAAAGAATGAGAATTAAATGAAACAGGGCATGGAAAGCCCTTGGCTCAGTGCCTGACATAAAGCATGTGCTCGTTAACGCTAGAAGAAAAAAAAATTGTACAATGATATTAATCAAACAATGGAAAGGCATGGTTCTTGCCATTTCAACTGGATTATTCAAGCTGCAGGGCAGAGAATGGACTGAGGGTCAAGACTGGAGGCCAAGGAACTAGTTAGGATACTTTAATTGGCAGCTGGGTCTGGGTCAGTGGCCTCTCTCATGCTCCTGTCTCAAATATTTACCTGCTAACATTTGCTCTTCCTTCCATCTTCACCACCTCAATGAATGGCTGCATTAACCCCTAGTTGCCTAAGCCGGAGGCTGAAAATCAACCTTGAGTCTTCTTTACCCTCATAACTAATTAGCTGTCAAATAAATGCCTATTATTCTCTCGTAATATGTCTAAAATCTGAACCTTTCTTTTCCTTCACATCACCATCACTAAAGGTCAGGCTCTTATTCTATCTTGTCTTGATTAATTCAACAGTCTTCTGACTGCAGTCTCAGTTGCCTACTCTCTTCTGTTTTCTGCTTTCTAAACACAAATCTGACCATCCCCATCCCATACTTCAAAACCTTTCACTCTCATTTGCTTGATAAAACCC